GGCCATCAATGTCTCCAGACCAAAACCCTATAGAAAACGTTTGAAGGTTAATGAAAATTAATATACAAAAAAAAAAAATTCGATCAATTAGAGGGTTAAATGGGAAACTTACAAAAGAATGGAACTGATTATTACCTGTACTTGTCGTGAATTTGGTAGCTAGCATGAAAAGGCGTACAGCTACACTTATAGAGTCAGATGGTGACTACACAATATATTAATTTTAGTTAGTTAGTTATGTATTTTTTAAATAAAAAAAAATTTTGAATTTACTTACTTGTAGCCGGAGTTAGAGCGGTCGGATACTTATAACCGCTACTGTAATAACTACATATAAACATGCAGGTAGTCAGTCTTATAATACTACTATCAGTCCAGATGGTATTATTCCAGTTATAACTAAAGAAGATGTGAAATGCTTAAGATTAAAGATTGACTGGATCAGTTCAGAGCAGACTGAAGATGCTTTGCATAATAATGTAATTTTATTTTTCATTTGAAGATACAACATATAATACAAAATATTTATGGCACATACAAGCATTTTTATTATACTAGAACTATTATAATAGATTTTACATTTTTTAGCAATAGATAAATCTCTCTATTTTACTCTATATATTTCCTGATTATAATACAAATGCAGTGCACTTATTTTGTAAAAGCATATCAAATTGAGAGGAAAAGACTTATATTTTGAACAATCTCTTTCAAATGATTATAATTACTGTGCAAAGAATCGCCTTTGATTAAATAAATTCATAAGGATAGAATGTGCAAAGGATCTTTTTCGATTAAAAAATTTCATAAAGCTAGTACGTAGGAAGTAAATACCAGTTTATTGCTCAAATATAACTCATCTCGAAATATCATATTATTGTTCACTTTCAGATTAAAAAATCATAAATATTGTACATTAATGCCTAAATATAATCTACTTAGATTTTATAAATAGTATAGGATTTAGTAATAGAATATTAGAACTGATAACGGATTCATACCTGAATCTGAAGTATCTCAATCTGTACAATGATCGGTCAAGTGACTTTAGGAGTTTTCATATTTAAGAAGTATATGATCTATATCTATGAAAAATCGCATAGTCATGCCATAAATTAGAATATCTAAACATTTCATATCATACAGAGTTTCTTGAACTATCAATTTGTAATATTATTTGTTTCTGTCCAAAGCTTCAGCATCTTAGTCTTAGATTTTATCGAATTACTGATATAACTATTAAAGAAATTGCTAGTTCGTGTCTTAATTTAAAGTACCTCAATTTGAAAGGGTGTAGTAATATTAGCAAAGAAGCTATAGATCAGCTCGTTTCACTTAATCTAAATATCCATGTTAAGAATTTTGTGAAAACTTTAATACCTTCTAATTTATTAACGCATTTAGTAATTTTCTTGGTCAATATGTTAATAATCAAAATTCAGTTCTATCTCAGGTATTTTGACAACCTGATTTTAATACATCTATAGCTAGTCAATCTCTGACTCAAGGTATTATTTTCACCTTAATGTTGAGAGCTGGTGAAAGAATACTAGCCAATCAAATAGAATGGTATTCTACCAATCTAACTAATCTGGATCAGTGATCAGCTTGAAAGATTTTTTTTGCTGAACCACAGATTGTGTGACAGAAAAATAAGTGGATCATCAATCAGGTCTTGTGCGACAAAAAAAAATAGATTAACTAAACATAAATGCTAGCTAAATTCTATACAAATGATACAATTGAAATAACAATAGTCTCTTCAGAAAAATAAAATAATTTTACTTCCCTCTAGACTGCACCTTCAGCAGAAAATGGTTCAGGCGTATTAATACTCACTAAAGGTAAGAAACTGTAAGAAGTTTTGAAGATACGCTCTTGCATTTTTATTGGCTTCTTCTAATCCACTTATTTTCTGATCAGAAGGACCAACAATATCAAAAACATTCTAAATCATGCTTATATTCTCTTCTAAATATAAAAGCAAATGATATAATATCTCAAGTGACCTTTTCCCATATGTTTCTCCTTAAGATCATGTATATTATTATATAATATAGTAAGAATAGAGTGATAATCTACATTAAGATTTTCCTGTATATCTATTAATTCCCTTACTAAATCAAATAATAGTCTAAACGAATCTTCAAGTGTTTTTTCTTTTTTGCTTTGATTCAATGCTGTTTGATTTTTACTCTCAATAGGTCTTTTTCCTGGGTTTGAGAACATACCAAGTTTTTTTTGAATAGCTATTATATCTTTCTTTCTATACAAAAGTACTTCATATAATTGAGCTTCACTTTTATCAGAACTAATATTAGTATAACTTGTCATAATTGTGTTTATTTTTGGTTAGCATATATTCAATTTTGCATCTGAAGCTATGATCATCAGTTCAGAAGATTTTTTGCTAAGTCACATGCAGTACTCCTGTGCGATAAAAATATGCAAATCATTAGACAGGTTTATGTAACATATTGATTTCGCATATAACGAAAAGAAAATATATATATTAACTAGTATCTCTATTATTTTTTCGAACAAATATGAGAAAAATGTGAAAGAGTGTCTAGTTGCAATACAGGACCTATCGTAAAAGTAAGTACTGATGGCAAAAGCATATATTATGAAAGGCTGAGGACTTTGAAATTTCAAGATCGCTAGGCGTAAAACTAACTATAGTCTCTCTGGTAGATCTACATGTGAAAAGATATGAGGATTCTGTTTGCATGTGCTTTCATAAAGCTCTTAACATCAGATAACAATACTAATTACACCTCATACCTCCTTAACTTTTTTTCAGCAAGATATAAAGCATATAGTAGTTGTGAAAGTTCAGCCAACTTCTCGTAAAAATCATTCTTGTAAAATAACACAAAAAATAGGTATGTATATGTCAAAAGTTGTGTATATATAGGGTGAGTTTTTTCTCACTATGAGGCATATATTTAGGAATCGAAAAAATGGCTAACACCAACCCTCTTAAACTAAGGTGTTATTTTTAGGATGGACAAGATGAAAAATTTTTGTGATCAAACCTTATAAGGAGGATAAAGTCGCTATTCTTGAATTTGCCGTTAAAACTCTTTTGATAAATCAAGGTTACCAAGCTCACTTCTTTAACTTTGGCCTATACGTGAACGATCTTAAGGAAAATAAACTCATGGAATCAGCAAAAGAGATCTCTAAGTATTTCGATAAGCCTCTTGTTCAGGATCAAATTCACATTCTCATAAAACCTAGGAGTAATTAGTATTTTTTATTTGCATCATATAAAGCAATATATATTATTTTTTATGTATTATTGCTTGGACTTCCGGCAACGTTTTTTATTTCATAAATAAAGTATTATTATTTTATTGAATGTACATGATAATTGGATGTGTGACGTAATTATCGTATCACAATAATAATAATGCCCTAGCATTTGAAGATCAATCGTATAGATACGTAAGATACGATCCATTCAATACTCATTAAGATTCTAACCTTTCAAGGATCGGCTAATGCATCCAAAAGACCATTGTATTCCATCAGTCCAAATGCATTAGATCTAGAGAATGTGTCAAATAAGCCATTTTTTTCTTGCTCAGATAAATTTGAAAGACGTCTGGTGAATTCCCTAAGTATAATATTTTGATGGTGAGTCAATCGGGCTTGATAAACATTTTCTAAGCATCTTCCCCAAAATGAGTTAAATAATCCCATCTGGTATACATTTTGCTTGGGTCCCAATAATTGTCTCAATCATCATCGGTCTCGAATTCATCATCATTATCATAATCATCGTCTTCATCTGCCTCGATTTTGTCATACCCATCAATTACCTCTACTTCTTCATCATTTATTAATCCTAGAGCCTTCAAAAGTTCGTGATCTCCGTCCACAGAACTAAGACCAGAATCGATTAGTAAGTTTTGTTGCATAGATACGGTTTATACTAGGATGCGTTAACAATACTTATCTTTAATTTAGCGTTCTAGAGCCTCTTCGATTAAAAACAGTAGCATGAATTAGAATCGCGTAAAAATTAAATATTTGCAGAATAATCACGTGAAATGATCACCTAAAATGCGCAGTACGATATCGGAAAAATTCTTGCCGAGCTGATTCGCATATATTATTTTTTTTTCCGATAGATGATCCTGGAATAGACAATTTTTTTCCAGAATAATCTCATTCTCAAAATGCTAAAGCGAGGCCAAAGGAAAGGAAGGTAAGTATTGTATTCTTATTGTATTGTAAGTTCGAGACTGAAAGAAGATTCATCCAACTAACTATTACCTTGCATTGTAAAAGAAAAATTCTTTTCGGGATAGTTTCTTGACGTGATAATAGATAAATTCCTCTCGATTATCACAGGGTAGTGGAACATATGAGGAGCGGAAGAATCTATTCCTGAATCAAGACATATCTCTAGGATCATGGATTTAGCTTATTTTTTTCTCAAATTTTCCCATATGCTGGTTTATCATAACCAGATTGACAATTCTAATCATCTAATTCGATTCTTGGACTACTAAAAAACATAAAAGAGGTAAGAACATTCGATTAGTTTTTTATCTGTATCGTGTTAAAATTGAGAAATACTAATCAATATAATACTTATCTTTTCATCAATGGTCCTAATTTCATTTATGATCATCATTTTGAGATTTCGAGATAAACCTTAGGGAGCATTTCGGGTTATATACTAATTTTGTTTTAGTTTCAATAAGTAAAAAAATATTTATATAGGAAGAAAAGGTGGGAAATCTTCCTTATGTTTCAACAGTATGGCCAAGCGAACTTTTAGCAAGTCCTAATTTTATACGTAATGAAATTGGTGAGATTCCCCTGAAAGATTTGGCACTATAAAAACAAGCGAGAATTACATGGCTTTTTTTTTCGGAAAATGTTACCATAGAAAACCAAGAGAACTCGGCTAAAGGAAGTTTCCTGATGAAGAAAACCCGATCACTGCTGAGAATATCAATTTGGAGGGTATCATAATTACCTCTATTCAAAGCAGTGATATTTATAATATGCAACCAGCTTGCAACAGAGTCCTAAACATACTTGCGTTAAATATATTAAAGTATCTCCCAGAGGACAATCTTCGCGAGGAGCCAGATTTTTCATCGATTAAATTCAACAATACTATTCCGGATTATGGGCCATATGGAAAATTTGATAATCCCATTTTAACAGAGGACCCACCTAGATCGCTTGTTCTAAATGTTTGTGGTGATATTGGTTCATGTAGCATAGCCAATGTTAGTGATCCATTATTACCTTTCCAATACAAAACCGTTGATGATGGTAGTGTGGAGGAAGGTGCAGATAATTCGCAAGATGAGGTTGTGACCTCTACAACCCTGAATGAATCCCACAAGAAATTCTTAAACTTGAGAATAGATTTGTCATCTATAAAAATTTTATAGAGGTCAGAGAAGACTAAACTATGAATTCGTGAAATACATCCCACTTTTAAAAAATGTATTTGAGATGAAAGTAGAAAGAGATCGGAAGATTTGAAATTTAGCAAAATATTTGAACTTTATTTTGTATTATTTGCAAATTTATATAATATGCTATTTTTTATCATCTGTTTATCTATCTATGTAAATAAAATATATATGATAAAAAGAATTGATCATTTAATTCATGTCGTATATAATACCAACTTCATTTAAGAACGAGCAAGCATACTAAGCACATCATTAAATTCGAGCGTCCATCCACACCTAAGAGATAAGTACTCATTCCAATTCATTATATAATAAATCAGATTTTAGTTAGCATCCCAATGAATTATGTATAGAGCTTGATTAGATCTTTGATTTCGTTATTGAGTCGCCGGAACTGTGACTGCCCCAGGAAAAGAATTCTGACGAAAGTGATTATTTGAATTAGGAAGAGCGATTCCAATAAATTCGACTGCATGATGTGTTTGTTGAACATTAGCAATTCTCTCCAACGCGTTACTACGGTCTAGATCTTGGTTATAAATACCTGCAAGGTTCAAACTTGATAAGTAAAGCAATTTACAATTCTTCTCTGTAAGAATTTATTTACCTCTATGTATACGTTTGGTGGTGGACACCGATTTGTAATTGGATGATGACGTTGTGCATACTGTGGTACTTGAAACCAGATGCCAACATCAGGTTGATAACTATTGTCTCCAGCCACACATATTGTATTTAATGATACAGACCAAGTTGGATTATGTACCCTAGCTGAAAATGCAAGTTCAAGTTGAATATCTTCTTTTTCTTTTCTATCGCACTAAATAAATTGTTCAATTTAATAATAATATAGTAAATGTAAATGTAGTTCAGAATAAACTTACCTTAATAAATATGTTACCATCGATTATTTGAGCATTATAATTACTTGTTTGCTATTATTATTATAAATAGTATCCAGGCTGCACGACAAGGATGTCAGTACCTTAACAGCCCAAAAAAAATTGAGTCTCCAGCTGATATTTGGTACAAACTGAGCTTCGCTACTCAAAATAAATGTATGGACTTAAAGTGTTTAGAGTCCCATTCCTTAAGACAAAAAAGAAAAATAATTTAAAAAAAAATGTATATTAAGAATAAAAAAAAAAATAAAAAAAAAATGAATAGCAAAAAAAAAGAAAAAAAAAAAAGCAAAAAAAATTGTATATTATATAAAAATAAAAATAAAAAATAAATAAAAAAAATTTCTGATGAAAAGAGAATAGAATAATTAGTAAATATAAATTTGTCAAAATAATTGTTAAAAATATATAAAGTTATTAAAAAATATTTGTATTTACAATTTTCTGAAACTTCTTCTGCCAAAAAGAAATAAGTTATTACTAAACATAAATTTGTGAAAAAAATCAAAACTTTAAAAAACATAGTATTTACCAATTTGAGCCGATGGCTCTATTACTTGAGCTAAAAAGAAATAAGTTATTATTAAATATAAATTTGTCAAAAAATTCAAAACTTTAAAAAACATTGTATTTACCAATTTAAGCTAATGGCTCTACCACTTGAGCTAAAAAGAAATAAGTTATTACTAAGCATAAATTTGTCAAAAAATCAAAACTTTAAAAAATGTTTGTATTTACAATTTGGAGTTAACCACTCTTCTATAAAGAAAATAAAGTTATTACTAAATATAAATTTATCAAAATATCAACCCTTTTAAAAAAAGTATGTATTTACCATTTTTAACATTAGAAGCCTTTGTTCGCTTCTTTTCTATAAAAGAAAAAAAATTAGCAATTCAAAAAAAATATATATAATTAAACTTTAATAACAAGTATATTATTATACCATCTTTAGAATCTTTCTACTCTCGTACCTATTTATTCGTTTGGAATTCAATATCATGTTCGTCACCTAAAAAATATATATATATAATATTTTAAAATATATTGTAAAAATTAAAAATTTTATTAAATATAAATATAAAATTCTTTATATTTATGAAAAGGATCCCAAAAATGGGTATTGAATAATTTATAATATTGAAGGGCTAATTTGCCCTTTTTCTCTTATCATTACCTGAACTCAATAACTTTAATTTCTAAATAAAAAGAAAAAAAATAAAAATATTTATATATAATGTATTATTTTATTTTATTATCATTTTATAATTTTACTTACATCATATTTGACAACTAATAAAGAAAATTTTCTCTGACATTGAATGTCAGAAAAATTACAATTGGCAATTTCATTAACTCTTTGGACTAAATCAGCCTAAAATTGTTTCTTGAAATTTCTTCAAGACTTATGGTAATCCTAAAATAATTTTACAAATTAAAAAATAATTGATATAATATATTAAAATAATTTATATTAAAATATTTATAGCATTT